CGATGCTAGGGTTCAGAGCTCTCCCTTGCTAGGGTTCAGAGCTCTCCCTTGCTAGGGTTCAGAGCTCTCCCTTGCTAGGGTTCTGACCTCTCCGCACTGGCTAGTTCATGAAGGCCTCAAACTTATCCGCAAGCGAATAAACGGTCGGGCAGCGCTAATGATGAAGGCCTTCCCGGAAGCTACATCAGATTCTACCAACCAGTTCTCGAACCAATTTACAACTTCTTTGAGAAGGTCGTCAGCTACTTATTTTTAGGAAGAATCTACCAAAGTAGATGTAGCTTTTAATCTACAGAACATTCTACCTATAAGTAATATTGAAAGTAGAAAGCTTACTCCTAACACAAAAGTTCTGAAAATCTTAGGCACAACAACTTCCAGTGCCTCTTTACGCCTCACAACCCAAGATGTTTAATCTCAATCAAAAACATATGTAAACATCAAACACAAAAGCACAATTTAAATCAACTTCATGCGCCAAACACACCCTGAAATTTCATTTGCATTTGCAACTTAACTTCCTCGCATACGTACCTCGCTGTCAATCCACAGTGACCGGCCAAGACTGAACGCGTTTTCTTTTCCTTCCTCGCGCACATCCACGTGCTGGTAAACTCCTTCGTCGACCTTCCACGTGACAGTCAGGTGATCAGCGCCCTGAGGGGAGCCAATAAAACACTTTCACTAAATTCACACGGGGCGACGCGCTTTTTTTGCAACTCTCGTATGCAGTTGGCAAAAAATACCTGGCAGATGATATGGCAATCATTTTCAACCTCATTTTCAAACTTCAAGATTTGATTTAAAACAATGCACAAAATCTCGGAGTAACTTCGCTCAAAATACTCGCATAATTAACTAAACCATTCAGATAAAAAACAAACAGGAATTGTTCAAACAGGTAGTTTGAATTTTTTCGTTTTCCTTTGATTATCACCCCACGTTTAGTGGATGTTGTTTTCTAGACTTAGGGTTGTAAGCAATTTTTTCACTAAATGTCCAAAATACACTGGGATTATATCAGTTTCAGTTATTAGTTCTCCTATACAACGCTTTGTAATTGGCTCTAGAGAACTTTTACTACCTTTTCAACCATATAGATGTAAAACCAAACTAAATTACCACACAATTACCCAGTTTTCCCGCACTTGAATCCGGCGACACATATTTGCTGAGAGTTCTCATTGCCTTTTCCTGCCCAGGATCCCCCGGGGTTGTAAGAATGTACGTAAATACAAGCTTTTCTTCGACCACGGCTAGGCGGGTTACCTTACCTACCAGGGATCCCCCACCATCATGTCAACAGGCCCTCAAACAGAAAATTCCTCTACATTTATGGTAACTCACCTTACTGCTGGGTCTCACAATACATTCCCCTTGGTCCATATCGGCTAACAGCCTCTCAGCTTCCTTAAATGAGATGTTTTTAAACGCTGGGTGTACAATCACCCGTTTGACGTATTCTGAAATTAATACATCCATTTTCACTGACTCGAAAACCACAAGGATTAAACTTCTTTCACAAATTTTTGTTTGTATCTTAAGCTCATGGTTTGATTTTCTAACCTTGCTGCACAACCATTTGCGGCTTCATTCAGACAAATGTTCAATAATGAGACTATGATGCACAAAAAAGTATTTTGTGGACTGTCAAAAGATCTGTGAAAAAGTTGTCAGCTTAAGGTTTCAACTTTCGCTTTACCTAGGCATAAAACCACGCTTCTCCTTTAATTTTTCAAAATTCTGCCATTTTACTCCATGTTGCTATGGTTACATACTGTGAGCCCGCGAGAGTTTGTAAAATGCGCAGATGTTCTTCAGCTTTTTCGCTTGAGGGAAGTTTAAAGTAAGTCTTGACCTTGTGTACTCGACACAGTTTTCCAAACATACTGTGCGCGGCGCATTTCCGTTGATATTTCAGAGACGGTTTCGTAGATAGGGAATATCTAACAAAGGCGATTAAAGAGCCTAAACAGAACTCACTGGGCCTGTTTGCTTTCTTTTTGGCCACTTCCTCGTCCTTCTTATCTTTGTCAGCCGCTTCTTGATCGTAATACAAATCTTTAGGAAGACTGCAAGAATAGTTTACACAAGACCATGATTTGAACTTGGAACTGGCAAAAACAGAACAAATACGTTGATTCCTCAGCGAGAATTTAGTCATGTCAAAACAACAACATCAGATATACTTGAACTATTCATACGAGGTAAAAAGTCTGTGTCTTTTACAGGTCTTTGTAAAAAGTGTCTCACCGACAGACTTTGGGAAAAGCTGTAGCAAAATATAAATGATTGCCAGAACTCACACTTACCTGAACTTTCCTTCTTTATCTGCGAGATCTGACGAGCGACACGTGAGGTCCAATTGAAATCGCTCCATGTTGACACGAGTCACGCGACAGTGGAGGGTCATTCCAACCTAATGGTAAGCACATTCAATCAACCGGAATTGCTATGGAACCGACAAATTCTATTTAGCTTTCCGCTGAGTAACTGTGTTATAAATAATCGAGAGGCAGTTTAATTAGGAAACCAGACCGATTACCTTCACTCTGTCGTGAGGACTGCTAATGGACTTGTCGCTTATCATTTTGGTCGGAAGGAACCCAGATAAGCCACTTTCCAGTCTGGTGCGAACACCAATGGCCTGACCAGCACAACTGCCATTATCAAGGTGGGTCCACACCTACAAGAACAACGGCATTCAGTTTGAGTCGAAATTAACAATTAAGATGTTTCAAAATTATTACTTACTTGGCACCTCTTTGCATACAAAAGCACTTTATTTGCAGTGTTGATTGCAAGCTGATCACGAATAACTTTGCAACTTGCTGTCTATTCTCTGCATTCACTCAACCCTTTCGCCTCCATATGAATGAGCATGCTCAGTTAAATAACCCTGTACCCTCACCTCGCTCAGATCAGGGAACGTATCCTGCAGACAGAACGGGCACTGCCACTGACCAGTCTCGTCATTTCTCACAGGCTGGGCCTGATCTATCATATCACGAGGAGGTTTTCTATTCGCAAATCCAGTTACGGTGCACACCACCATCTTCCCGACGTACAAAGACTCGCTGGTCTCACCCGTCATCAGTCGGAAGCTTTCCTCCACCGTCAGAGATCGGTAAGGAGAGCGACGCTCCCGGTACTGTCCGAAGAGCTCGTCTCTGATGTCGTACAGTGTGATACGCTTGTTCCCGTAACCTTGACGTTCAAGTTCTTCTGCGAATGCATCCAAATCCAAGTCTTTTAATCTGTCGGGGGCCTCCAGAATCTCTTCCAAGGCCGACGACGGATTCGACTCCATCGTCGCCTCGTCGTATTCGAGTGCGTCGACGGCCATTTTCTTGGCCCATTCGTAAGTTTCCGGATGAACTCGTGAACCGTCGAGAACTTCGATATAGTTCGTGGTTGTGTCGCTAATGGCCGCAGTGTCGATCTTGATGAAACCTGCGCAGTTGAGAAACACCTGAGGACCCAGGCCACAAACGGTCACAAGTTGTGAGCGGTTCTCGAGACGGGTGCACTGTTGACGTAGACTCTGAAAAAAGCAAGATGTATAATTTCACTGCCGCTGTTCAACAGATCTCCCATCGTGATAGGAGCTAAGCCATGGTTTGTGACTTTGTCATGCACAATCCGTATCAATTTACTCCATCCTCCCCCAAAGCCATCCTTGTTCCATCTTGGTTTACAGTAATTGGTACGAACCCGAGGGTAACATGTAATAGTGCAGTCTGATCGTCTGGGTGAGTGCAGTCCTGACAAGGACTGTTGTCGGTAGTGATGACTGACGGTTTGACAACCAAGTGAATCGCTGTTCTCACTGATTGGACAGTTTTGCCGTGATGTAATTGGCCATAAGATTCCTTTCCCCTCTTTTTAATACGGTCAGTTGGTTGGTTTATAATCACCCCTTTTGTGTTTTTCATCTTACCGAACCAAAATTTTGTAGTCGTGTGCAATCTACGTGAGTTTTCTTCGTACTTAACCATCCTTATTTTTTTCTGGCTTATCATTACCTCTTTGGTATTTTTCTTTCTTACCAATCTAACATTAAGTAGTCCCTTTCAAGTCGAAGGTAGTTTCCCTTGTCCCAAACGATAGCTCATAAGATTATCAAAAGGTTCCTTTTAAGATCTGTGTGAGGAAAGCCTACGCTTCACCCTGACCTCTTATTTGTAAAAATAAATAAGAAACTCAACAGAAAAATGATATGATTTTGAAAACTCCGACTGATCACTAATACCTTTAATAAAGAGGAAGCTTTCCTAGGTCCCAGTCCACACACAAACTGCAGCAGCGACACTGTATGGGGATGTTCCAACAGGCGATTAGGGTCAACGCCTACCTCATTTACAACCGTCACGAATTCCCGATGGAGGCTTTTTACAAGCTGCTCTTTAGGTACTTGGTCCTGAAAAGTTAGGATATCTAATTTGTGTTGTGTTTTCACGGATGATGACAAACCCTTAGTACACTAGCTCATTGGTTCGTTGGGTCATACACTCGATCTTTACGAAAAAAATATACTTCACTTAAGGTCGAGTGGTATTTTGAATAATCGCCTGTGGAGTCGAAAGTCTACAAACCTATTAAAAAGCGAAAAATTAAATCTCCCACCTAAAAGAAATACTGACAGCGAAATTAAGGTAAATTTAGCCACCAAGGAAAAGATCTTCTAACCTGAAATTTAGCAGTTTCCTTTTCTTTCCCCGAGCATACAAGTCATTTGTTACGTTCTCATTATGGACATCAAGAAGGCGATAAGACCATCATCCTTAGTAGTACTATTATATTCTGACTGCCCTGTTTGTTCAGCCCTCTGACTCTGCTCTCTAATTTCTCTCAATTTGTACGTAAACAAAAAAGCTTAACGCATGGTATGAGTTAAGAGTTTGCATTATTATTCTCATAAGTGTATAATAAAGGAGTGGATGGCGTTGAAGGCACACAGTGATTGGCTACACAAACTCCAATTATCCTTTGGTATCCTTCACCTTCAAGCAAAGTTGCAGCAAAAGGTGAGTTAAAGTCATCTCTTTGTGATGTATTATCACTCTGTTTTAGTATTTACTATACTACATACACCGCTACACTAGCCACCTCCATTTCGGTGAATAGTTGTTAACTATCATTCTAATCATTATTACTATTATTATAATTTTCATGATTATTATGATTGTCATTGTCATACTCATTACTATTAACAGACGAGCTCATTCCCGGTTGCAAAATAACAACTTTACCTGAAACGGATGCAGCCGTAAACAGAGCAGTTCATCTTCCTCCACACACAGAGCAGCAAACTCTGTCAACGGGTCCTGAATCCGGCGCCCAAGAGACACCGCGTGACGTAGGAGGGGTGGGTACTCACGGAACTCGTTCTGCAACAATAGTAATATCGCGCAATTAGAACTAAACCACGTGATAGTAGAGGCATCGCCGAGGACTGATTTATGAGAGCCACTAGGGACTGTTACATGTACCCCTTCTTGGTCAACAAAAACTCATTATTCATATTGAAACAACCTGTCACGCCTCCATATGCCGGTAAGGTGCTATCGTAAATCTTTGGCATGAACTCGTTGTTTTTACTCTTGGCTGTTAGAGGATTTCTGATCGGTCCTGAAAACTCGCGCCTCTCCCCCAACCAATCACATACAAAACTGAAACCAATCGCGACTTGGTCGTGCACGATTTCCCGCGCATCAGTCAGTTTCAATGTATTTATGCAAATTCTCATTGGCTCATTCTGGTATTTCCTCATGTTTGATTGGCCAGTATGTTTACTGTGGGTTATTGACTTCTGATTGGTCCTGAAAACTCGCTCCACTCTTTCAACCAATCACCTGCTCAACTGAAACCAACCGCGACTTGGCCATTCACGTATTTCCCGCGCTTGATGTGAGTTCTCATTGGCTCACTCTGGTATTTCCTTTTATTTCGATTGGCCGAAGTGTTTACCGTGGGTTCTTTTAACTTTTGACTTCTGTTAAACTTACCTCCGCTCGAGGCGAAGACATAAACACGCGGGCTACTTCACCATCCAGAGCTTCCACTGAGATGGTTGGTATTTGGTTCTCCTGCTCAAGCTCTGCAATGCACATTTTGATATCGTCCATCACAGAAACAGTCTCGCGAAATTCAGCTGCAACAATTACAACCTGAGGCCGCTTCTTGAGGATAAACTGCTTTAACCTTTGCATGTCCTTTTCCTATTGACGTAGAAATAAAATCTGTGAAAACCACTGCATACAACAATGGCCGAACTACCTCTTATTGACCAAGTTCGAGGTCTACACTGTTACTTACGGGCCGATATTTTTGAGCTCGGATTTACAGCCCAAGCCCGAAACACGTGGACCATACATCCAAGCAGAGAAACGAGTTTCCGTAACTTACATTATGGACCGAGAAAAGAGTTTTAGTAAGATGTCTATCATTGCATCTCTAGGTTCAAATAGAAGGGGGAGATTTCCACTCCTACAAACTTTTCAGTCTCGCTAGCCGTCCAGTGAACGACAGCCCGCTAAACTAATCAATCATAGCGCACGTTTTAATTGAGAGATGTCATAAACACCACTACGAGAACACAAGGGAACTTCAGTTTCATCGAAGAACCCAACAAATGCCACTGACCTTGTCTTCTCGTTCTTTAGCTCTGTTTGTATTTCGTCTATTCAGCAGGTACTTCAGTCTGAGGTAGTCATTCACCTGGCCTCCTCCGTCCAGCATGGCCAGGAAAGCTGGTGTATCTGGATTGTTAGAGAAGGAACACGCCAGCACCCGGAGACCTTCAGTATTAGAGCTGTCATCGTAATCCCGTTCGTCTATATGCTGCTCGGGTTGGTATGGAGCAACTTCAATCCATGATCTCAGCCGCCGGCAGCATGACTGTGGACATGACATGATACACATAAGAATAAACACAATTTGCTGCAAAAATTGACGTAAATCAAACTGAAACTAAATGGAATTTGGGCGAGGTTAAAACCAAGTCTGCACAGTGGTTTGATCGACGAGAG